AACACAAGGCGGCCGCTTCCCCCCTGCCGCCGTTTAATTTAATTTGGGTGACTTATTGAGGGGGTTCAGCCCCCGGTTGAACCCCCGTTGTCGGGCCATTTTACTTTTTTTTCTTCAAATTCTTAGAAAAAACTTTGACTTCAAATTTTTTTTCGCCGTTTTTTCTTCTTCTTTAACCAAGAAAAGAGTCTAAAATAATAGAACTCTCTTGCTGATTAAAAAGAAGAAGAAAAAAGGCAAAAAAAAATTGAAAGTCAAAATTTTTCTAGGAACTTGAAGAAAAAAAAGTAAAATGGCCCGACAACGGAGGTTCAACCGGGAGCTAAACCACCTCAAAAAGTCATCCACACTAAATTAAACAACGACAGGGAAGAAGCGACCGTTATGTGTTTAATTTAAAGAAAGCGAACTTACCCACTAAGCCACGCAAGCGGTGCCTGAGAAAGAGATGTAACGTTAACGAAGTAGCTATGTTTTCTCTGACTCTTTTCCTCTTATGTTGTATAAAAGAAATTCCTCTCCCATGACACTAGACTTTATCTGCATCTACATTTCCCCTTTTCAGTGATGGAAAATCTACACACCAGCTCAGTGAATGCTGTTCTGTTTAGTCATAAGTTATCACCCGGTGATTGCTAATAAATAAACTCACCTTTTTTCAGAAGAATTCTTCTCTTCCTTCTGATGGCCACCATTTCTATGATGTTCAAAGATACCTGGTCACAAAAAAACAGCCGTTAATTTAATTTACCCCATAAACTGTTTTCGAATAAGGATTCTTACAATAAATACATCACAAAGAAAAAATTTCCTAAGAAATCGCCAGAGTAATACTTGAATCTGAAAGAAAGGCCCTCTAAGGCTGATTTTTTTTCCTATCCTAATTGTGAGTTAAGAGTATGTGCACATTCATATTTAGTACTGCATCACACTTATTTTCAAGCTCTCACTGACATATTTTTTCAAGGTTTTTTGACTATTGTAAATAACAAAACATCTCAGTACAACAGCAGTAAGGGTTAGTTAAAATACTTTTTTTATCTACAGTAAGCAACCAGTACTTGAAATTGTTTCAACGGCACGGAATGGGATGAATTAGTTAGACATTAAAGTCCAACTATACCCACCACCAGTAATGAGGAAAAGATGACCCGTGAATAGCGAACAGTTACGGTTTAATGGCAACAACTCAGTTAAAATAATATGGCCAGCAAGAGCATGAAAGAACAACAACAACAAAAAAAGCACCTGCTCGCCTAACAATGCCCACTGGAGCATCACCTTTTTTCAACAAACAAACGAGCAGAAGTATCCTAGAAATATCAACACCTCCATCCACATTAAGTAGCAGATTGTCTCACAGTTCACAAAGTCCAAGAAGACTAGACAGAATGTAGTCTTGTAGGTACTTTGGAGGTGTAGACCCTGAGCCAGCGGTGATTGGTGACTTGGGCGATGTCAGCTGCACGAAGAAGATAAGGTAGATGTAGGAGCCAGAGAATGGGAGTAGCTTGTTACATCTGGAGGAAAGGCTTGTGGGTACTTGGGTTGGCATGAAAGGAGTCTGAAGAGTCTGGACTGTGTGGTCGAAGTAGCCCAGGTGGAGCGACGAGTGGCTAACAACAGAGAAGAGATGCAAAGGTAGAGCCGCAGTCACCTTCATCGTAATCATGGGAAGCTGATGGTACGACAGTTGGGAGTACACCGTAACACTTGGATAATTCAATTTTGTACAATGTCGCGGAGTTGGGAACCAGAGAATTTTTTAATGAAACACCACTCTCTATCGATACGGGCAATGATGTACTTTGCGCAAGCTTGTGACAAATACCGGTCAGATTTTATGTATACGACCTCCAACTTATAGAGGAGCTGAAGTCTTTAATGAGTCATGGCATCCTTTCGCTTTTTTGCCGTATGGATGGTTCCTTTAGCAATCGGTGTGCTTTGCTATGATGTGCTGCATGTTGGACACGGGTACCTGCTTGTGAGTGAACTGGTTGTATTGCCTCCAAATCTCACCGGCGAAAACATTGCATTTGGAGTCACGAGTTTAAACGGACTGTAGCTACATCAAGTCATAGTTCAGCAACATGGCCCCCACCACGTTCTGGGCACAAGAGACCCGTTTTCAAGTACTGCCTATACAACAACAGGATTTTCTTGACGGTTCAATCTGGCCGACTTCAATGGGAAAACCAAGGTTTCTTAGAGCACTGGTGTTCATTCGCGAGACAAATCCAGGTGCAAGGTCAACATGTATTACTGCGGTGGGACCATCCAAGTGGTGTAGGCCTACGACCAGCCTGACAAGGGCGTCACAAAGAAGTGTCACCTTTATTATCAGGTACTATGCACAATACAGTGAAGGAGGTTCTACATTCTTTCAAGCAGGATGGTGACATCAGCTGCAAATGACACACCCACGATTTCAGTTGGATCATCTGATGACTGGATGGTGAGGGTATGTTGGAACTTTTAGAGGCGCAGGTGTGGCAGGAATCTGACACGCAAGTGATGGCGGTGATTATATCAAGAGCAACTGGCGCTGTAACATCATTTGAAGCTGGTGCTTTGAAAGGTGGTCAAGAATGTAGCATGGTACCATGATCAATTTAGTGGGGGGCGGCAGTTGTTACTGATGTTGCAAGACTAACCATTGTTAGAAATCATAGCGATGTTCAGATACTGCATTACGTCTTTTTATGCGGGTTACTGTCTTTGACAGACAGTCCTTGTTTCAGGTGGGCGCAGATGTGGCATAAATTAGGGTACTCATTTTGGACACTAAACCACGCGGGCCTGATGGTGAACGGTAGATGCTTGCCATTCTCTCAATGTCTTGGAAAAACACACCAAGTATTACGCAGAATTCTCAGTTTCAAGAATGAAGGAGCAGATTACACAAAGGGGCGCATTTCGGTCAGAAGTATTTCGGCTGGCAAAGTCAGAGGGTAAATTTGCACTGCCTGCGAGGTGTTGCAGACTCACTTGATACCTACAGAGAGCGATTAGGAAAGACATAAAGCAGGGTCGGCAGAAAACTCTCCTTGATGACCTGGACGCTGGGTTGGCTGTCTGTCACAACACATGTACAGTTTTTTGACTGGATGATGACCGGGCTAAAGTTCTTGACAGAAGTAGCAATACTCAGTGCTTCCACTTCACAGGGTAACCATGTTCCTTGGTGCTTACGCAGCTTTGTGCTGTAGAGGACCACTTGGTGTAGACGGCTGTTGCGTTTAACATACAGAGTAGCACTATGAGAGGTATGAACCCAGGAGTCACTTCATAGGTAGGTGAGGCATGATTGTCCTTGTAATCGTAGTCCTGAATAGGACTGTTGTACATTTCCACAACCTGTGCAGTAGTCATCTTCAGTTTGAAAGAAACGTATAACGTCAGAAATTAAACTCTGGTTATTGACCTGATTGCACAATTATGTTACGATGTCAATGGTGCATCTTGATCCATCTGTTGGTCACAGTTGAATAGTCAGATATGGTAAGTCAAGTTGTCGGTTATCCATTCATTCTGTTGTTATCAACTTTGCTTGGGTAGATCTGTAAGTAAGTCATTTGTACAGTACTGGTACATGCTGACTGCAATTCAGTGGCATTTTGTTTCAAGTCAGTAACCCGCTTTCTAAAGAGAGTAATCTGTAAAATATGTTAAGCATGTCGCAGAGTCCCAGTCAATTTGAAGTTTCGTCTGTAAATGGTGGTCAGCAATGTGATTGTTGACATCACTATTTATCTCTTGTCGCATGCTACGCTTTCTTCTGGCATCACTAATGTGAGTGGCCTGGCAGTTGCAGCAATTGATCTGGCACACTGCTAGCTGTCTGTCCTCTGGTCTGCCTTTGTCCTTGACATTAGTAAGCAGTTGTCATAAAGTGGTTATTGGTTTGTGTGCAACACATACACCTAATTCAATTAAGGTTACTCCCGTGAGCCATGTTTCATAGCCTGCAGTGTACTATATGGTAATTCCTTTTGTAGCGGGAAGTTTAGTCTTGTTCACGTTCATTGAAATAATGGAGACCATTTGTGAAAAGGCATTCAAGAGAGCTTTCAAGTCAAATACCTGCTAAAATTCTTAAGCATGGGCGAGCTGAAAAATTTCAATTTTAAAATCTCATAGTAAAAAATTAGAAGCCTCTTCTTTTAACCACATTAAATGAATAGGTTTTACCGCCTGATTAAGCTGCGTTTTTGCATGGGCTAGAATACTGGTTATTTCAATAAAGCAAAAATAATTGCCTCAAAAATAGATAAACATGTAATGTTAAGTTATTTATTGTTGTTCAACAAACGCCTTGAATTTTGATTTTTTTTAACTCCATCCCAAATTCCCATGTGCAAGAGCCAAGCAAACTGGTTGAAAATTTGCAGCATTTGCATATCAGCACAGAGAAAAACCTAACCTCAAATCACTGTCTTAAATTAAAAACCCTAGGATTCAGTTTTTTGAAATACATTGTCTTAACGTTCTGCTGACATAGCATAGAAGTGTTAAAAGTGTTTGCTTTCTAGGTTTCTAGGCTCGTTGCGGGCACATAATTTACTAGACTTGCTACAATAATGCACCGCAGGCTATGAAACATGGATCATGCATCATTCTTCTCAGAAGCAACCCTAATTGAAATAGGTGTATGTGGTAAGGTTGTGGTATACATGTGATAGTTTCAGAGGTGCATCTGATGTACAGAGGTAACAGGCCCAGCATCAACATTAGTCTGAGTTTTGGAATTGGCATTACTGAGAGCGTTCTGTCTAACATGATCTGTGTTGTAATTGCTTTTACTAAAAACGTTGTTTAGGTAGTCAGTTGGACTTGTAGGCTGTCAGGTGAGTCACAAACTAGTTTCACTAGTCGTGCCAAAGTCTGTATTGCTGTGTCCTTGTGAGATGTCAGGTTGTAAGATGACTGGTTTAGGAATCTATTACATGTATACTACAACCTTACAACATACACCTTGCACACAAACAGAAAATACAACTCACTTTGACTCCAAAGATGACAACCCCACAGGCTGTAGAAACGTCAGTCACTGTCAATAACAGTCCTATTCAGGACTATGATCACCCGGACAATCATCCTCCACCTACTTAAATAGAGTAGCACCAAGACCGCATTTAGTTACTGAACCATCAGTGACAATCCAAAGTTGGTTGGATGGGTGCAACAGCAGAGTAAGGTAGCACATGGCTTAAGACATTGCAGGCACCGATAAAGATAGTTAGACCCTTGACAGAATCAGGAGGAGGGCAGCTAGTGAGTGCAGCAATACGATCGGGACTAGCTGAGAGTACACCTTGGGACAAAATCCCATACACGATAGATGTTGATTAGTGGCAGACAGACATAGACTGCAGTTGCTAGGGGCCTCGAGTAAGTGGGACCAGTTCGAGAGGCGCTCTTCAGGTGAGTTGCCTTGACAATAAAGGTCATCAGTAAGCTTTGTGTACATCCCTTCTGGGTGAAGTCGGCCAGGATGCGACACAATATTTCTAATGCAATCTCTGAGCCAGGCAATCCCATGACTAATCTTGTGTACACTCTGATGCAATGAAATAGGGTGGGAACACACGAGATCTGACTGTATTATGTACTTCCATGGAGAAATAGTGTGAAGGGTGGAGTTGACGTCTGGCAACAACAAGGGTTAAAGTTTGCTGTATCAACGAACTTCGGCAAAGGCGGTAACGAGATGAAATCCCCCAGATGACTTTTTGGCAAGCAAGAATGAGGTTGAGGTATTCCACGTTAAGGAGGCTTGCCCCCTTTTTTAAAGTCTCACGGCTTTGTGTTTGACGCTCCATAACTTTGGCTGTAGATCAATTATGAAAAAGCCCCAAAGTGAAACAAAATTAAACTTAATTTTAGACTATGTTTTGTTGACATAGACACTTCCATAGCAACAGAATAACAATGACAAGAAATCAACAAATGAAACCTAGCAACAACCTGTAAAAATCCCGTAGTGTACAAATTGTTTAGACCGTTCTCTTTACTTTTAACAATTTGCCACTTTGACAAATAGCAAGGTTGAGTTATATGAATTATATGAATAACTGAATCAAATGAAGTGTTGTCAGAAGAATCAATTGAATTTGACAGAAGCAGTGAGCCATGGTGCATGTAAATAATTAAGTGGAAACACACAAGCAAGAGACATAACCCTAAACAAGTAAACTAGCAAACAATAGCAGTTACATCGCCAGGCGCTAAAATTCATCATGAAATTGACTTTATTTCAATGACTAAAAAATATTTTCTTTTGCATAAAAATTTCACTGAAGTTAGCAATGATTAAATTATCAAAGAACCAACTTTTTTAAAGAAAAATTATCCAGTAATTTTTAAACTGTGCCTTTTAAACCAAAGTTCACATCTTTTGGTGCTTACATGAAAAATATATCTTATAGTAAGAATAGAAAAATGCGTGTTCACAAAGAGTGATTGCTTGCCAATTTTCACTATTGAAGAACTGAACCACTCTTTAAGCCATGTATATAAATATGGATTGTACTGGCACCATAAATGATCAAACACAAATGTTGAAAAAGACCTTTTTTGGGATGCAAAAATGATTGTTAGGACATTATATTTTAAAAACGCTCTCACAGATTTTTTTTCAAATCTTGCAAAGGAAAAAACAATGGTCTAAACTATGAGCATTCTAAAGGATTTTAACAGATTGCTGCTAGACTCTGAGAAAATTCCATTTTGTAGATTTCATGTCATCCTTATTCTATTGCTATGGAAACGGCATCTCAATAAAACATGCTCTAACATTAAGATTAATGTTGAATTTTTTTCACTTTGTGGCCTTTTCATAGATGTACTACAGCCAAAGTTTTGAAGCATCAAACGTGAAGAGGTGAGACCTTCAAAAATAAGTGCGAGCCTCCTTAATTATGACGTTCTCAGGATGATGGAAGACTTGGAATTGTTCCAGTTGGTCAAATTTCTCTTGCAACTCTGGTAGCAATGAGGGACACGGCCCTTACATTGTGGGGGTTGTACGGGACCCATATTGACAGTGGCTTCAATGAGGCTGGCGGTGCTGCATATAATTATAGTCAGATTTAAGACATCTTGATGGGCCTGGAGCACTTGACAAAACAGGTTGTGTACTCTGTGATTCATGGCAGCATGCTGACAGAGAGAAGATGGATGATGTGTACTTAGCGTTGAGTTCTTGAGTGGAGTAACTGAAGGAACAGCTGGAGACTAGGCTGCTTCACTATCTCCTCATATGAGCTGGCTTTCTCCTTGGACGAGACGTGGATACAAATGTCAGATGCCACCATACCAGTGATGACAAAAAAACAACCCATGAACAGTTACAATAATATGACCGCCAAGCACAAGAGAACAACAACAAAGCATAAGGCGCATGCTCGCCTAACAACACCCGCTGGCATAGTACTTGAAAGGGTTAGAAATGGCAAGGAATGGAGTGAATTTGTTCCACATTAAAGCCCCACCATACCCACAGTGGTTTGTGATCACCAATTTTCCTTACATTGGAGTACCTCCTAGAAACATAAATAACACTCCAACTTACCATATTGTCTAGTCCCTCTCATCACTGAGTCCTCTTGAGCTTGACATCTGATAAAAAAAAGACAGTTATATTAGGACAGCAAAGTTGATCATAGTAGTTTCCACAGCTTGGTATTCACCACTGAAGTTTACACTGTACATGTTTTATACCCTACAGTTTATACTCTGCCCACTTGTTTTGTTTTGTGCGTGTGTGCATACTTAGCCTTCCACTTGTCTTGTCGTCTGTGAGTGGTTAATACTTTACACACTCATTATTCTAATTGTAAAAAAAATTGCAAATTGTAATTTGTTTACGAGCACTTAGGAGTTCACTCGTTGAAATACGGTATGTCCGTGCATTCCAGATTGAATTGGAATTTGGAAGAGTTGGTTTTTAAGGAGAGGGGAAAACTGGAGTTCCTGGAGGAAAATCTCTCGGAGGAAAGGAGAGAACCAACAACAAACTCAACCCAAATATGGCATCGACACCAAGATTCCAACCCGGGCAACACTGGTGGGGATGAGTGCTCTCACCACTGCACAACCTTTCCTCCCCGAGTATTCTCAAGGGTATGGATGCTACACTATACTTTCACTTGTTACGATCTATATGCACTGTTACTCAGCGAGTTATGATTTTTATGCATGGTTTCCATATCTAGTTGTTTTTCGGTGACTATGAATGTTGCCTTCCATATTATTTCATCCGCCTTTGTTTGTTTTTTTGAAATCTACATGCAAACAAGGGTAAATGTTGTTCTGTTTAGTCGATGAAAATTATAAATAAACTCACACTTTTTTATAAGTAAATTTCTTTT